AGATATCTCCGTAGAGGAGAACCTTTTTGAAAGTGTTTGTTTTGGGGCGATTCTCGAGGGTTCTTTATTCACTGATGGACTGTTGTTCACAAAGTTGGAACAAACACCTAATTCATGAGACGTATCAATTTAGTGAAGTGTATCAAAGCTTTAATGTTTCAGGCGCCTTACAAATACTCAGGGAGTTATTCTGTGTTTATTGTGAGTATATCGCAGACGTGGCAGACCTAGAATACTGTTTATTGCTTCTAACGGTAGTTCGGGTGAGCTGATTGTCTTGGTTGTTGGTCTGTGGGTCACTTACCCACTCAACCCTGCGCTGACGATGTCACCTCGATTGGTGATGAAACGTTTGCAATCCAACTGGCAAGCTCGGCGAACAGACCAACAACCAAGCAACACACCCGAGCTACCTACATTTCACAACATTGAGTTGATTGTCTGTTGACCAGGTAGTGGTGGATCTGCGCATGGTGACAAAACGTTTGCAAGCCAGTTGACAAGCTCAGCGAACAGGTCAACTGCCACCTACTCAACAGTAGATTTCTTGCATTTGTGTGAACTTACTGTATACGACGCTAATAAAACCGCGTAATTTCCGCCTGAACATCTCGGAGTAGTGCTTTTTACCATACTGTTTGCATCGTTCTTTGTGAGCCCAGCAATATCACTAACAGAAGGCACACCCAAGAAGATCCACCGAAAAGGTTTGCTGACAGGGACTCCCAATGTGATGCGAAAACAAAGAATTTAAATTCCTGGAGGGTTAATGCAATACATTAGTCTGTCAATAAACTGTGAACATGATTAATACGAAACAACCGTAAACCGATCTATTTTGTGGAATAGCTAGCTACACATGAGCTTTCTTCCTCCACCGAGAGTCAGCAAAGTCGATAAACACGTAGTGTGAACATGCGTTCACAATACACGGACCACATGCAGATCTGCTGGATAATCCTTCACTCGGAGTTTCGCCTTAACTTTTCTTAGTGTCAATTGCAGTTGCGGTTGTAAGACTAAAATCGAGACGACTTTACACTGGACATTTTCGAATACGTAAAAGACGATCTTTAATCCTTTCGCGGCCTCTTTATAGGAAGAAGATGACTACCGGCAGTAGGCAATGCTGGAATTTTCTTATGACAATACTGCTTAGTTTTACGACGCTCCGGTCAAGAATGAGATAGGGTCTTCAGTAAGATGTGTTTCAAATAATTTTCCAGATGTCCCGAGTTCACAAGTAATGCATACTCACATGGAAGTTCTAGCTAACACCATGCAGCAAACCAGAAGGAATATGAAGAGTTATATGGAGTTTCGGAAACGCAATATCACTGGTTCATAAATCCAATATTTTGTATTTCGTTCTGGAGACGAAACTCTGAATAGTCAGTGCGCCTGACTATGGGAAATGAGCAAAGGAAGGGAGTTTGGAAAGGATAATTGCAGCAAAAAGTAACGTAACTGCGCCACTGAGGGGGGAGTTCTAGGTCATTTCCGTCACCCATCAAGCCACATATATTCATAAGCACATCCAGTTGCCTGAGAACATCACAAACTAGAGATTCAGCTGGGTTCCAGGTGAGTCTCTTGAAAAACCAAATTAGTTTGCAAATTAGTGTATATACGTATATTCACTGTTTTTAGGACCCCAACAGTGAAGTTTGCACACACCATGAAGTGCAAACTTACAAAGACCGCTGTCGTTTCGTCATCAAGATATCCTCTAAGTTCTCTGATTAGTTTTCATCCTTTATCTCTAGCTACAGAAACTGTTCTGTGAAGAATTGGTGGCCGAATTTATGTGCTATCGATTTGACTACTTAACGAGGTGTTATTTTTCAAGACTCTTGACAACTACCCGTCTCTGATGTGATCCTACTGGTTGTCCGCGATACCAGATTTGTGTAGCAATGCGTGAATTTTCCTAACACCCCAAGTTTTCGACAGCGGGGATGGTGTGTCCGAGGGTTTATACCAGCCAGGAACAATGACTCAACATTATCCTGATGAGAAAACAACCCCGTAGAGGTTTGCTTACATACTCCGAAGTATCCAATGTAAACCAATCCCGAGTGCTTATCAGAACAATATCTTCAATGCAGTCTAGTTGCTGACTTCAGTTTCACTCCACAGCCCACGTTTGCCGGCACAGCACTTGTTAGTATGTCATTAGTAATGAAGTTTAAAAAAGACTGTTTGGTATTAAATCATTTACTAATTTTGCTGGTGACACAATAGTTCAAATAGCTGGTTACATACGTGGATTTCACCTTTCGCTCCTTGAGGTAGTGCCTCTAAGATGCAGAGCGCCTCCAACGCCAGTGCACTCAGGGAAATATAAGTTCATGGTGTTGTCCTATCCAAATAATAAAAGGTAGTCCCAGTATCCTAAAAGTAACGTAAGTACGACGTTGGTAAGCACGACCAGGCCACGGTACTTATCGGGAAGTGAAGGTTTAGCCAACAAACTTCTGTTTACAGACTAAACCAATTTTCTGTTAGCCACCCAGACGCTCTCATGACTTGGACCTTGCTCTTCGCACAGCTAAACTAGTCTTCAGCAGCCTGTCTGGAGTTTTCCGATGGTCATCACGAGCCGCGACTGCAGTTAAAGTGATTCCCATATTTTCAGAACTAAATTGTCCAAACGAGTGGACTCCCCAAATCTATCAAAATAATTGACCACAACAGAATGCGGACCATTTCGACAGAATGTCGACACACTTCTTCATTGTTCACGCGGCATATCCAGCATACGGGACACCAAGATGGATATAAAATATCACCCATACTCTCGTCCTCTAACACGAATCGTAACTACTTGTTTTCAGCAATGCTTTATTGGTAAATCTGAGCTGACCGAAAGTTCGCGGAATGAAAGATGAGCTTGTCATTTGACAATCATTTTAATTTAGTTTGCTGACATTTTCATGCCAACTTCATTCAATTATATCTGTGTTTACGTACAATTCATCGTAAAACAAGAGACGAAGGAAAAATATTAGCATCCTGCGAGTAGTTTATGTCATTTCTTCATTCAAATGGGTTGGAGGGACCCAATGTTTCAAACCTATGGTGAACACCTGTTGAACCTCGGGGCAACAAGTCGTGGTTGACTCCAGCTAAATATATAATTCACTCTGAAATGTTTTCACCATGGACAGATTGACCGACCTAACGATGTCAGTTTACTGAAACCGACTTCGCAGTCGATGAAAGCACATGTAAGTCTTTGCGACACAATCGTGTCTCTCAAGCATATGTCCTTCCGGTTGTACAAGGGAATTTCAGCCTCCTCTTATTTAAGCCCGCTTACATATGGTCAAGTAACTGGTTAGGACAGCGATATCTAAATGCGGTCCTCTGAAATGCAGCTAACTCTCCTGAGCACAGAGTTTTCTCTCTAATGCTTCGAGAATTAAGCCGACTGCTACGTTGGCGGAAACGGCCTGGAGACATCACGAACAAGAGATTCAGCTGGATTCTAGGTGAATCTCTCGGAAAACCAAATTATTTTGCAAATGAGTGTATATTCGCCAGGTTTTTCCTGTTTTTCAACTCATACAACACGATCATGCCAGTATAAGTGTTCACATCCAGCTTTCAATTGCTATCCAGTCGAGCAGTACAACGTTGGGAGTAGCGGTTACCTTAAGCGTTGAATCTAATTTAACAATGCTGATGGTATATAGATTCCATCACGACAAGTTTTGAGTTGGTTTATCAAGCCCGGGAAGTACACTCGTTTCTCAGATGGGGAACATACCACCACATCAAACCCTCTCGTTTCAAAAACACGGTTTATGTGCTGGATTTCTGACGCCGAGGTGAGACAGCGGCAATCGACATTTTGGATAACAAATTGCACTTTCCTGTTTTGGTTGTTGGCTTACCATGACCAGAATTTCTCACATTGCTGTTTGAAATGAAACTAAGACGAAAAAACAACTGGGTTGCAACCAGAAGCGTTCGTATGGTTAATCGTATCTTATGTTCAATTCGGTCAGTGGGCACGAAATTACCCGGTTACACAGGCCGTACTAGGGAGTTTGCCTCAGAGGGCAACCTTGAGCCAATATCTGAACTATGTACCCCACAAGTTAGTAAAGCTTTTGGATACCTACGTGCGATCTGCGAGGCATTCGGGGATTTGCTGAGAATGCTGGAGTAGCACCAACAGCATGACCATTCAACTCCAGAAAGGATCCATCTAACCAACTCGCCGATACAAATTCTTTTCACTACTAGTTTAAAGTCAGGATTCAGCCAATAGCTGAGTACGGCACTCTCCGTAAAACCTCTGCCAGGAGACATCGGGCTTGAGAAAATTATGGTTCTCACTGTGAGTATTTCTTTACTGCATACCAGGTGGGAGGATTCTTCAAAGCCAACAAAAGAAGGATGCTTATCCTGGATGATATTACAATAAGGGTTGACAGCACGTGAGATTAAAACTACGCATGGCCACTGTCTAAGTGGAAAGGTTCCGATAAAACCATATCTTTTTTCCTGACGTACGGATGGCATTCGAATGGGATTTTCTGGTCAGCAAATTTTGAATCACTAGATGCTTGTGCACTTTTGGGCAGAGACAGACGGATTGCGCGGGACCGCATGTGCTGCATGCGAACCCTGAAGCTTGATTTAAATCTGGGACTGGTGAGTGAATTTGCGGACTCTTGTCACAAGGCGCTAGTTGGCCTAAACATGATGGCATAATAGTGAACATCGGCAATAGCCGCATGTTTATTCTTGAGTCACCGACGTCTTCCGTCATTTCCGTTAAGTCTCACTGTAATCCCGTACTTTCCTGGAAGTCTAGCAAAATACCTACACTGCATCGGTCTGTTCGCAAAAATACAATATTCCCATTAGAAATTTGTGACCCATTACGCGGGTGGCATTGGAAACAACATGACTAACACTTTACCTATATGTATATTTCATCGAATGAACACATCACAGGAAACCACAATGGCATTCTTCCCACGGGTTTTGGATATCTCCAGGTAGTCTGGATTGCTGCAGATTTGTTGGATGATTTCACGTTTGACTTTGGTGACCCTTGCGTCGTCCCACCGGTACCGTTCTTCAGAGCATTATTCAGATTACGCGTGCCAGTTATCTCGTGACGGAATGCTCATGGTTTGATTCGATGAACGGACATGTTTGCAGCATTCAATCGAGTATCCGACATTCGGTCAAATTTTCCATCAGATATGCTTTCACACGACGAGTGGCTCCCGCGCAGTGTGTTAGTTCCAGACGCCGAAGTCGCGGATGTCGAGCGAGCTGGCTCAGACCATCTTCGCTTATTCGTTTACAACCTGGAGAAAGAAGACAGAAGTGTAGGATATGTGGGCTGCATTCATTGGGTCCAAGGTAGTAAACTTTCTGAGACAGGGAGAGTATATGTGGGACCGGTTTGAAGTAAAGACCTTTCATACTGCTGTTGTTTGCGAATGATTAGGATGGACTCAAGAGTATAGTCACATTGCTGTCGCGGCCTTGCAACGAGTACCGTAGTGTATAATACAAAAGACTCAGCAGACAGACGAGTACGGCTATTTGTTCAGTCAGGTTGCGGGTTGAGAGGATCACACAGGCGGGGCACCAGTCGCTCAATTAACAGTCCCAACCCAAAACACAAAATATAATAAAGGGTTAAAGTATCGAACATTAGTTAGAAAATGTTGAAAAAGAGTCAAACATATCATTTGCGTTCCAACTGTACCCAAAGGTTCCTTCAGGTATGTTTGCTGTACACTGCGAGTGACTGATTGAAATGCATATGAAACGGACAGTAGCTGCATTTCACTAGTTTTGAACCAGCCGCATTCAAATGCGGGTAACTGGAACTCCAGTTTACCACGCACGTAGTATATATCGCCCATAAACGGACAGTCGAAAAACAACTTAACCAGATAACCTTCATTGCCAGTGGATATCCAGAAACATACATGCCCGATCTACAGTGGATAGGTCTTCTATAAGTACGATACAGAGTAAGAGCGAGTTTTGAGCACTTCCATCCAAGGGGAACACATTGCAAATGGTATTATCAAAGAGTTGAAGTGAACGCTCAGCTGGACAACACCAAATTGTTTAGTGATTAGTCCCCAACTACACACTGCGCCTACTGGTAGAAGTTGATACGATAACAGACGCCCCGAACAAAAGAAGGAGCTTCGCCGATAGCATAATACCTCTAGAGCACAGGTCACGTCGTTGGTCTTAGAACGTCAGTGTGTTACGCCGACATCATAATTCCCATGTGTTGGCCTTCTATGAGATCATGTTAATAAGACTACATTCACCTATCTTGATTGTACAGGAACAGCCGAACTGGACTCTGAGCTTACTATGAGACTCACCGAACGCATTTTCGGAATTTCATTCATAGATATCGAGACCCCTATGTAGGTCTTGATATGACAAGACAGGTTTTAGACATTTCAAATTCACACTGTACACCTGAAAATTCTTGGGCTTCCCAACACGAGTCAGCAAATGTGTGAAAGGTACAGTACACTCTGATTCTCACGAACTTATCATTGCAGTTGGCATGTGATACTTTAGACCCATAGAAAACCCACTCCTTACTGATTCAGAAGGAATCTACCTATAACTTAATAATAGCTCTGACGTCAAGGACATACTGTAGCCCTAGTGCAACCATATTTAGAGGGTTGGCTTGTGGCATGGTGGAGGTGAAAGAAGTGGGGGCCTATTTCTGCGGAATCACTTATTCGCGAACACGAACCAAGCAGTTACAAGTCTTTAGGCAGGAAAGTAAACATCTCTTATGCACCTACTCTTTGAAAACTGGACATTCTAACGCGTCTTCTTGAACTTCATGGATGGCCGTTGACTATCTCACAGCAGTAAACAAACACTGCAAAGCAGTTCCACAATTTGGAGCTTGGACACCGACCACAGACTATTCGCATGCCTCATCAGTAGTATTCACCGTTACAATTCTAGTGACTCAAGCTGGCCTTGCCACTACCAAGCCGCACTAGACCGTACCATCCCTCGAATTATATGAACTCCAATCATATGTCTAATGCTCTTCTTTTCCCTCTGTACACTACCCATGCGGATGGCGTACAAACTGCGGGGAAAATAAAAGCTGTTTTCGAGCTTTGATAGGCAATCTGAATACTTGGATCTACGATGTTCTCCTAGGTCTAGCAAGTCTCGTGTCATCAGTACGGCCAGGTGAATGCAGGTTGACGATGTATTTTTGGGGATTCTAATGTAGGGAGCAACATACAATCATTTGTACACTTGGTGCACCCTTTCGGTTGGAATATGATTTTATGTATTCTAACCCCTTAAAAATTCGCCAACATACAGGAACTCCTTTTCGCCAAACGACAGGATGTTTCCGCCTGATCAGCATGTGACATCTAGTTCAAACCAGTCTACACTGGGACCATACTAGTTAGGGGATTTTCAGTCATGCGTGTCGTTGTTGGACACTTGTAAAATTCAGTATTGAAATTAACAATGTTACTAGCACTGAATTGGGCACTACTGCGAACGAAATGTTTGGTCATTCGGGCGCACACAAATAAGTTAGCTGGAACGTTTGGTTTCTGCTTGTCATTTTTGACAGTGTGAATGCTGAGGAATGTGCTTTCTAAAAATATTTTGCTGTCAACTATCCACTCCTAATTTGACAACTCTGGATGTGCTACACTACAACGAAAACGTCAGTGTAAATTTCGCAAAATTTATGGTCTCTACTCACCGAAGGTTAGACATTCTGGTCAGTTCGATAGTCACTCTGCCATGCTGTGTCAACTGGGAAGTTATTTATAAATTCTTGTCGTTTGCTTACGATAGCCCGATTGCTAGTTCACCAGGCAGAAACTTATGCACAATACCGTTGGGTTTTGACAATTCGCTTAACAGCACTGTTCTGCCTAGCAGGGTCAGATTTTAAGTCGTGGACGTCATTCATTCGTCTACCTGGGCGCGCAGCTATATTTCCTAAAACCGCTCCCTGTTTCGGATAGGAAGCCCGCCAAAAACATCAAACCATGAAAGGGAGATCTGATTTACAGGATGATTGTCCTTTTTTACCGATATCATTCTTTGGAAAGATGAACTAGATAGCGATGTGATCGAAAATAACTCAATAAGTTCAGTGAAATGTCATTATGCAAAAGGAAAGTGCCGGGAAGAATTGTACACAGACTCTTGAGTTTCATTCTATAGTTGTGTCAACTGTCTACATTTTCTGTGAGGTGATAACTGTATGGACAAAAGCAATTTCGGCTGTATAAGTTTCCTAGAATACAACTATCAAAAGTCACCAGTGGCTTGAGGCTGAAAAAGTGTTCTCCATTCTCAACTTGCCCATTTATAGAGCAGGCTTAACTCTCGGTTTTTAGCGCATTAAGAATCTTTACCGTTTGGAAATTTTGACAATCAGATGAAATGATGAGATCCTTAGCCCTTCGGTTTGTCGGTAACCTTCTGGGATTTAACAATGCTTGACAGTCCTCAGATTTTGACCGACACTGTGCAAGCACTATCTGCCCCTTGCGCTATATTACAAGGCCAGGCAAGCTAAACCTAAACCTGGATTTATTTGTGCAATTTTTTTTGGATACAACAAACCAGCTGACCCTTGAAAGAGATGAAGCTAAGGAGAAGAAACTTGCCACTGATCAAAACCCTAAAAAAACTTCTCTCTTCATATCAAATCACCTATTTATTATACAGTTGCATTGATATTCATATAATGGTGAGGTGAATGGGGAAATGCTCTTTAGGGAGTACGCCATCAGATGTGTTCGACATATATTAAGGTAGTCCGGTCCGTAACAATGCTTGACAGTCCTCAGATTTTGACCGACACTGTGCAAGCACTATCTGCCCCTTGCGCTATATTACAAGGCCAGGCAAGCTAAACCTAAACCTGGATTTATTTGTGCAATTTTTTTTGGATACAACAAACCAGCTGACCCTTGAAAGAGATGAAGCTAAGGAGAAGAAACTTGCCACTGATCAAAACCCTAAAAAAACTTCTCTCTTCATATCAAATCACCTATTTATTATACAGTTGCATTGATATTCATATAATGGTGAGGTGAATGGGGAAATGCTCTTTAGGGAGTACGCCATCAGATGTGTTCGACATATATTAAGGTAGTCCGTATATATATATATATACATATATATATATACTTGAGAGAAATACAGCTGCTCCAATTACTCGAAATCCAATCAACCTTGACAACCAGTTTGACAATACACCAAATGTTCACTTATTTACCATTTGCATAAAATCTTCCAGGAGTTTAGAGGATTAGACTGTGTGTTCGGAATTAGCACGATATAGCATCGATTTTCCATTGTATACATAATCGAATTTGATGCTGTTCATCCCCTGACAAAACCTTGCATTTTGTGTTTGAAAACTGAATCTGTAGTTCATCTATTCATCACTAGTTTGGTGTATGCTCCTGCTAGGAGGCATTTAAAGGGTAGAAGAAAGTGACTTATTCTACTGTATTTACCCTGATTTGACAGCAGACAGGAAAATTCAATGCCAAGTCATTGTGGCTGACCAGCATCTATACAGGTTGCAGTGTTTTCTGCCCTATGCTGCGCCGATTCAAGACAAGTGATGTAAATGACTCATCGAGTGCCCACTTCGCGATGTTTTGCATCACGAGCCATCGGTGCATTTCAGCGTGACAGAAAAGTTGCACTTTGCGGATACCTGCATACAGTGTACATCCTGTAATACATGTCAGATGATGGAAGCATCACTTGGAATGACGATTTCAGGTGGACTGCTTAGATTACAGAACCAAACTTTGCCTGTAGCATCCCTCCACTTGGACTTCAATGAGCATCCGTGTTTATAAAATAACCATACAGATAGTGCATTTTCAAGCTTGTTAAAAGTTCGATTGTTTTAGTAAAACCCAGTATTTCATTTACACTTCGCTGGTCATCCATTAGGTTTTCTGTATAAAAACTAGGATATATGGAGTAAAATCGCTTCCTTTTTGACATGCCGCATCAACAGAAGGAATGTTGTAAATGACAAAACTCCATGCTTTTTGACCAAACGCCTGTCAAAGAAGCGGAATTGGCTTTCTGCTCAGATTCAGTCGGCTTCAACAAACTTTTAGCTATTTCAGCAAGCGGTGGTTTAATTTATCCGTAACAGAATTTCACTTTTACGGCTTTTGTTTGGTTCCCATAGGGTAAACTGAATGCGTGCCATCAGAGCTGTACTGAGTAGCTCTTCCAGATGAGTTACTTTGCACGATATATTAGGATACTATAGTTTTAGTTCTTT